CGGTGTTCGGGAGGTCATGGGTTCGATTCCTGTCGGGGACTCAGAATTTGTCTTTGTCCCACGCTCGTGTCATGTTGATTAATTCACCTTCACATTAACTAGTATATGTTCCTGTAAAGAAAACGACGTGACAGAGAATTTTTTGTAATTCGATTTATTGTACGTGTATTCAAAAACAGGATCAACTACAGTGGATTTAAGTGCTGTTTTTATTCTTCCAGACAATTTTTTTTTTAACCAAATGATCATGCTTGAGTCATTATGCTTGAGTGTTCTGTGCTCCTCCAAGCCGAGGAGTGCTGACAATGAGGTCCTCCTCCCTCCTGCAAGGCAAAGAAAATGACGAACTTTAGAATAACGTACCGGAAATAAGAGCTTTACTGCAGACAGTACAAAAGCTAGCCATTAAGAGAACGGCATTCGTTATGGAGCGCTAGCAGACCTATACTAAAACTTCAGCTACAGCTGAATTGTTCGCATGCTTATGGACCGAGACGGAGTCGAGGTCAATAAACACATTAAAAAAAGAAAGAGGCCGATACACAGGCATCTTGACCTGGGAAATTCTTTTGGCGGGACACAGCGCATAATCTCGATCCGGCAAATTAGCGCTATCATGCCCGCTCCGGTGGCCAATCACAGCGCATAATTAGGCTTATTAAGTGCGTGCTCACGAGCTAGCCAAGTACAGTAATAAACAGTGATAACTGCATCGGTCCTAGGTCTCCAAGAATGTTCAAGTTAGTATAGAAACACTCGTTAATGTATTTGGGAGAACCCGAAGAAGCTATAGAAATTATCGCCTTCGGCTGCTGTTCTAAATAACAATTGGACTACAAGCCCCAGTTTTCCATAAGCACGAGTTTTCCAACGAGGCAAAACCGATAATTTCTTATCAGAGATTAGAAGTACGTATAAATCTACTAGCGTTCTATCACGAATGCCGTTGTCTGATTAGCTACGCTACTCACTATCTATTCTGTTGTAGATAGTGTGCACTTGTTAACAAAATGACGGCCATTTCTTTGCGTTTTCTAAGTGTCAGCGAAGAGGATTTAGGTAAAGTTTTGAACGACTATTACATGTGTAGATTTATACTAAAACAGTTAGATTATTCGCTCTCGATTTCTATGCGTGATAGTTGACTCGGGCTGCGCACTCGTCAACTATCACGCGATAGAAATCTCCAGCTCATAATCTAATTGTTAAATAGAAAGTGAAGAGAGAAGCAATCAGATTCGGGGATTTCCAATAGAACACAGCTGAGCGGCTGCTAACGAGTGTTCGTAGTGTTTTTCTATTAGCGATACCGAACTCGGCTACGCTTCGTTGAACGACCCGGGTTCGTAGTGTAATTGTTAACTAGTGCTAGTGTCACTAGTGCTTCTGTAAAACGAGAAACGAGAAAGAAAAGAAAAGGAAACGATAATTTTTTTCCTATTAATTTAATAAACGAAAAAAAAAAAGATACCAGTTTCCACAACTTACCAATGCGGCTGTTTTCAGGGTGCTGTAGTAGTTACATCTGGTCAACTCGTCGATTCTGGTGACGCAGTTCTCTTTTCTCTTCTACTGATGCTTCAGTAGTCGATCCTGCCTCTCCACTCGATTCTTCGGGTGCCTCAGTAGTCCATTCTTCGGGTACTTCAGTAGTGGACCCTGCTTCTGCTTCAGTAGTCAACTCTGGTGCTGTAGCAGTCGGCTTGGAGCCACTTGGCTCAGGTGCAAAATGCTTCTCCACAGCAAGACCGACCGTTAAGGCCCCTCTCACGTTAGCAAGCACATACTCGCCCAAAACTCTGTATGCCAGTTCCTCGTGGTCATGTTGCATGAAATATGTCACGTGCTTGATCACCGCTAAAGAAGGGAAGATAAAATCGTAACACTATTTTTCGAAAAAAAAAATCGCAAGGCGCAGGAAGAAATGGAACAAACTTCTGACCTCACACTGAGGATTCTCAAGATATATAAGATAAAAAAATCTGCCTTAATACACTGCTGTTAACCTACATGTCCAAAAATCACATTTTTTACCCTTTTCATTACATAGTTTGTACCAGATATAAATGCTTAAGTTAAAGTTTGTGTTTATGTTTTTCCTGATTAAAGCAATAAGACTACGAGTTGCTGGGAGGGATGTAAGGTGTGTGTGTGTGTGTGTGTGTGTGTGTGTGTGTGTGTGGGGTGGGGTGAGGGGGGGAGGGAGTGTTCGGAGGGTTTGGTCGAAACCCCTAAATGAAAATGAGACAGCACACTGACTTGGCCTCATGATGCCGGAAATTCCATTTTCGAGGACCTCAGTTTTAAGAGATTTTCGGAGAAGGATGCCCCCGGATACCCCTATAAGGGACCGCCCTGGGCGTTCCGTATCTCAAACCCCCTTCTCTAAAATCCTGTATCGGCCCAAACATTTTATGGTTACGTACCGTTCTCGTGTCCTTTGGCAATCGCATGCAACCATGCAAACTTACGAGCAACCTCGCAACCCTGAAAAAATGGCATACCGTTAATTGGCGGTACATTCTGAAGCTATTCGCAGAAGCAATCGATTTGTTTATCATTGGCTAAGAAATTGGATGAATTTAATATCAACTACAGGAAATTCTATACCCAGCTTGTCAATGCTTTACTGATATGAAATTAGGAACAGTGACTTAGAGGGACTATATCAGAGCTCTTTTAACAATTGTGTTTATTTTCATCAGTTACGAACTCAACACTTCAAATTAACAAAGCCACAGTCAAAATCATGACAACTGACGTAACGAACAAGGATAATTTTCGCGATCGTTACTGAGGGATCTTATTCAAATTGAGACTGAATTTGAAAGGTGACAGGCCGGTTACACGAATGTAATCCTTTTCAATCTTCTCCAATTTTGCCCATCCGTGCGCCCTTATAACTTTTCTATGTTTCTTTTGAGTTCTGCAGTTTTATGCCATCAGATATTCCTATATTTTAGTCGATTCAATAGCCAGCTGGTCAGTGCTCAACTGTACGACCTAGCCCCTCCTAGTATATCTCTATTTTTTCTCCATCAACCCACACGCCACATAAATTAGTCATGCAGTCAGTCAGTCAGTCAGTCAGTCAATCAATCAATCAATCAATCAATAAGCCAATCAATCAATCAATCAATCAATCAATCAATCAATCAATCAATCATTCAATCATTCAATCAATCAATTAATCAGTCAGTCAGTCAGTCAGTCAGTAGTTAGTAAGTCAGTAAGTAAGTAGATAAACTCAACCCATTACTGAATGACACCGAGCCGGAATCAATCGAGGCCGGGTCACGTTGGTGGGAGACAAGCTCTCTAGCTCACCTCTCGGCACCCCGGATAGATTGCCAGGGAACATTTCTTAACCGCTAAAAGATGGTTTATACAAATGAAGAGATGTACGCACCTCCACGACTGTGTCCACAATGTACCTCATAAAGTTTACTGAAAGAAAATTAGAATTCCAAATTATTCCTGCGTTACATGTTCATGACCGTACGATCCAGCGTTTTAGATATGAGGCTCTGGCTCGATCGAATATGGAAGGCAACCTCATCCAACGTTTTGACTCTCACATATTGATTGTTTGCTAATAAAGGGCCCTTTTTACCGATGTCACGCAATATCAACAATTTTTCGTGTCTTTTTTATATTATTCAAGTTTTCTATATATAAAACAACTATGCCACTCGCTCTTATTGGATATGAAAAGATTATAGCCAACTTGGCGCAACGCTCCTCGTTTACTATCTATCGTCATTTTTTAAAAACTGGATCATTAGTGAATGCAATTCGAGAGTTTTCATTGGTTTAGCCATCATGGGTTATGAGCCGTTATACCATGATCTACAAATACGGTAAGCCCGCGCGTGATTCTTTGGGGCGTTTTTATTTTTATTGTAATCTAATTTTCTATATTTTGGAGGCGATTTTAATGAAACAGTTATTCCACTTAAGCTCAAAGTTTTTCTCGAGCTATGCTCTCAGAAAACTGTTCGCTTCTTGGTGCAAATTAATGTCCGCGGACAAATATCCGAGCATATTTTCGCGCCAAATGGAGGCTACTGTTTATATAGCCAACGCACGCTCGTGGAATAATTGTTTTAAAATCTTGATTGAGTCACTAGACACACCTTCTTTGCAGTCAGGTCTGTTGATCAGGTCAAGAACTTTATCTCTGATGCTAATCTTTGGCCCGTGTTCGGCGTGGTGGTGTCGGGCGTAACCTGACAAACCAAAGTACGTGAAAATGTGACCAGAAGCGGGACAAAGTCTCATCTAGATGTTATAGGAGAAAGAAAGACAGAAACAAAGAAACGACGAAAGGATGGAAGGAAGGAAGTGGGTGGAGGAGGGAGAGAGAAAAGGAAGTTGCATTAGTCTATCGACAGTGGTACTTACCAGGTCTGCAAACCGGGCTTTTCTTTGAGTAAATGGCCAGATTGAATCTGTCTTTCAGATCATATACGCCAAGTGGATCTACGTATTCCACTAATTCACCAAGAATCTTGAACAAACCTGAGCACGAAATAAACACAAAATACGTGATCGTTGTATTTAAGCCAATGCTTGTTGTTGTTGTTGTTGACAGTGTTCTTGTGTTTGTTGTAGTTTTTCTAGTCGTTCGCCCGGCGGCAGATAAACTATTGCCATTGTAGTCTCTGCTATGCAGTGCAAGACCTTATCATCTGCCTCAAACATACCAACGCGTGTAAATATTAGAACTTTTGAAGTAAGCAATGTCATCTGACACCAGCAAGGACTGCTGCATATACTAGAATTTTGAAGTAGGTCTAGACCCATGTGAACAAATTAATGTTACCTCTCTTCAGCATAGACTGCTGTCTGACTCGCTCCTTTTTAATTTTTAAGCAAACAAATTTATATGATCCTACTGATTTTTCCTCGAGAATTACGAATTAGTATGAGATGTAGTACAAACCATCTAATTTTTCATCGCAGGCGGCATCAGCGATCAGTCCTCCAATCATAATGATTGCCTTTATTCCAGGATGGTCTCTGAGATCATGCTTCTCAACCACGTAAGTAAATGCTTCGAAAACGTCTAACGAGAAAAAATGTGAAAAGAGCAACGTCATATAATAGCCAAATAACGTCATATACAGCCCAGTAACCTGATAAAAAGGCGCTGAGTCACAAACCACTTTTTATGGACAAGACTTACAAACGGTCCCTCTCTTTCCAACAACATGATGCGTAAAAGTAAACAAAACTCGGGTGGAGGACGCGATTTATTTCGTTCCTTATAACTGGATCCTCTATCTTCTACGGCAAAACCTTTAAAAATGGCTTATTTCCTGTGAGTTTTGCCATGATGAAACAAACCTTCCTCTTTGTGTGATTTTCTTCCCCTCCAATTATCCTTTATATATAGTTATGACTAAGTGGTTACAGGACTTCATGCTGTCCAATCCTGTCTGGAATCATAAAGATTGGCCTGCCTCGTCCCCAGTCGCCGGCGCGATGGTGTGTGGAGAAGCGCAGGGAATCATAGGGTGGAGAGAAACGCGGAACTTCTAAATCATCGACTTTGTCGACTAAAAAGTCTTCTAATGATGGAAGGGGTCCTTCATCATCTGGAAACTAGAAAAACGACTTTCACATTTTCGAGCTGTTTCGCCAATCTTCGACACCTTCCCATCGTTCCCCACGCGCGCGCGCTCCTCACTCGTACCACTTAGCGCTGAGACAATTTTCACGCCACGCCCACAATACAGGATCTTGGCACCTCTTAGGGGTTCTTTTCAAAACTTCCGATAAATACCCCCGTCATTTTTATACGGGATTCCCCCGGCCCCGAGATCCAAACCCTCTTAAGGGAATCAAAAGCTGTTACGCATAGGATCAGTACACGTTGACTTTCTTACCAACTTCACTGGACATTGAGGCGTATTTGAAAGCCTCATGCAAATCTTGCGCGAAGTCGAAGATGTCGTCTTTCCCTTTCAGCAATTCATACAAAACTGGGAAATGAAGAAGTTAATAAATTGATGCAGTTGTCAGGTTAAAACACATATCGATGAACTCTACATTTCAACCAGTATCGCTTAGTGCACTTACTCCCCAACCCATTCCACATGTAAATGCCTCTGCTCAGGTTTCTTTTTTCCTTTATTATTATAATTATTTATTTTAAGGTTCCAGCCCAGGAGTGATAAACTGCGATTTTATGATCTTGGTATGGTGTAAATTATAAAGGAACATTACAGGCTTTCGCCTTCGTCCGTAATGATCAATAAATATATATAGTTACGTATGGTTCTGAAATGGCTGTCGTACTGTTTATCGCTAATCTTACCTCTTTAGTGCGCTTCGGCGATATATCAGGCGATTTTGGTGGAGTCGTGGTTCTTGGTCGAGCCAAAAAACACATGGCGAGAACAAGCGAGGCTGGTGTTCCGCCAAAGAGTACCAAAAAAGTAAGATTAGGAATTTACTGTACTCAAATTCAGTCAAGTGACCATGATATCGTAGCCACATCGATCAGGTGAGTGTCCCGATATCGCCGGATATCCGAACGTACAGTAGGAAGGGCTTCTGATTGGCTAATTGTGAATTTGAGTACGGTAATCTGTCAAAAAGCTTACCTGATTGATGGACATAATTGGCATATTTCCATTTGACGCTATCACAATGCTGGTGTAGTTCAATGACGTGTTTTCCCAACAATTTCTTCACCTCGTCTGTATCTTTGTATTTCACAGCATATAACAAGCCCCACGCTTTTGCTGAAAATTTCAACGCACAAAGAGTACTGTCCATCAGCGAACACAATGCTGAGCGGTTCATCATTTCCCCATAACCACAAATAAAAAAAATATATATTACTGTACATCCTAAGCCAGCTTACCTTTGCTTTTTTGGTCCCTTTCCTCTTTCACTTCCTTCAAAGCTGATCCTATGTGGAGTATCTGTGATAAAAGGGAAAAGAGTTCATGGCAGCTTTCAGTTGCTAGGGGATCAACTGTTAACTGATGTAAAAATGATCTAAATACATAAATAGTTTAATCGTCCCATAAAGGTAAAATAAAATAAAATAAAATAAATAAAATAATTTAAAAAATATACTGAAAGAGATACACTAGTGTGTTTAAGACTCTAGAAATTTGGAGATTAACAGTTTTCTTATATTAAAGAATGTCTGAAGTCCTTTAGTGAAGGTTTCAACTTAAATGCAGAGTCTAATGAGTTCCAGAGTTTAACAGTTCTACACGGTTTTGTAATACGCAGGTAATAGCTAAAAATGCTCGCTTTCCACATTTTTCCTTCCTTCATTGGTTTAGATTGATTCCTACTGTAAAAACCAGTCAACGCTTTTCAGCTTGTCATATGCCTGCGTTGCTGGCAGGATTTCGCGCGCAAAAGCATCCGTCCATACAAAGCACACAAGCAAGAGCATCCGCCCATACAAAACACACGAGCGAGAGCGTCCGCCCATACAAAACACACGAGCGAGAGCGTCCGCCCATACAAAACACACGAGCGAGAGCATCCGCCCATACAAAACACACGAGCGAGAGCGTCCACCCACACAAATTAAAGCAATCGTGCGCGAGACCAGGCAGCTACGCAGGCAAGCTTATCATTTTTTGTAACCCTTTTTTCTTCCTTTGGGTTACTAGTTACTTAAAATCACACGACATTTTCTCCGGAATATCTATCTTGCACGGTTTTCTAAAATATAACTCCTTGAGTAGTAATGCAGTAGGTTTGTGCGGTCAAATTCGATGCCCGATAAATTCGTTGGAGGCAGCACTGGTCGTTTGTAGTTTTAGTTCGTTCTTTTCCCATAGTGTCTTGACGGGTGTGCTGGAATCTTAGTTTTCAAATCGATTTTTGGAAATTCCTCAGCTATCAGTTTAAGTCTTATATTAACCAGTTTGTGAGCTATCTGTAAACGTTACAAATCTCAAATCTCAGCTATCAGTAAAATACTGCCTCGTTCTCAGCTGACAAAGTGTTAAAAACTATGTTCTATCTAAACAATATCAAACGTAAGTTTCCACAATTCTTCTAGCTCTTTCCTTTAGTAATGCGTCCTTCTGCTCCCATGTTTTTTTTTTTCAGATGTTCACTCAAACGAGACGGAGGCTAACTCGATAACCTGGCAGTTCTATTAGCCTCCATGCACAAACTATGGCCCATTGTCACCTTTAATTGTTATATATGTATCTTTTTTCTTTTTTTATTCTAATATTATAATTTTAAAACTGTAAGTGCAAAATAAAGTAAAGTTGAAGTTGAAGTTGACAGGTTAGGTTTTAATCAGTTCTTCGTTACCAGTTTAGCTCTGTTTGGATCCCTCTCTTAGAATTAGCGTAGATAAAATTGAAGCGACGGATAGTAGAATCTGTAGGCTTTACCTTGATATACAGCTTATGGATTTTGAGTTTTAAACAATGCACCCTTATAATGCAGTTTTGAGCTAAGGACACCAGTAAAGGCGACGGTAACCTTTACACAAACTTAAACTATAAGAAAAATTCAAAGAAAAGAAATCAAAATTAAACGATAATTTGGTCAAATGGATCGCTGCGTAAACAAACGTACATCCTCGGAGACCCAGCAACTGCTAGTCGGGATGATGCCATATTTTCGGGCGAGCGATAGTTTACTTCAAGTGTACTTCCGCCCGAAAATATCGCTCCCCCGAAAATATCGCATTGTCCCGACTAGCAGTCCCTGGGTCTCCGAGGATGATGAATATATGTATTGCTCACCGATTCTGCAAGTGTCTTCAAAGGATCGGGTCCCTTTGCGGGTCCGGGTCCGGGTTCCCCTGAGCCCGATCCGTGGTCATTCAGCGGTCCTTTCGTAAAAAGTGCAGCAACGCGAGCTGTTGTTTCCTTTGAGTTATATGGATTCGTGAGTTGTTTGGGATCGATTGGTCCATCTGCGAACATCAAATTAGCAGACAAAGTAAAAAGCGAGCTTCAAGCAACATTTAGATGGTGAAGCAAATCAGTTCCGATATATAAGGGGCCAAGGGCCCGTTTCTCGAAGGTCCCGAAAAGTTTCGCACCCGGAAGGCCATGGCAAAATCTCGAAGCTTATGACTTCAGAACTGTTTTATTCACCAATTCTTAATATGAACAGAGGTTCTCTTCATACAAGAAGTTTCAGGCGTATACACTTCTCGGTTTTTAGATACAGATGAACTAAAAATGGCTCAGTTACGGGCCCGAAAAGTTTCCGGGGCTTTCGAGAAACGAGGCCCTGGCCATTACTAAAAAACAGCTTAGGCACACAATCAGCGCGTTCTCTACGTCAGTATATTACACCAAAACTCTCAGAAGTTGCTCATTTATCTCTCGCTCAAAAAAAAAATCAATAAAATGTGCGAAACAGACAATTTTTAAATTTTTGAGCACTTAAACAGTATAGAGCGTATTCACTCACATGTCCAGCAGCCATGCAAGTTCATTGGAACAAAAGAAAGTGTTTACATAAGAAAAAAGTTCAACTCCCTCAGGATTGATTTGGTTCACAGACATGGCCGCCTTTTCTTTGTTTTCAAAATGTGGCTGCCATGACGTCATGTGTATACGCTCCATTTGTTAATTTGTTTTTTTCCTCTCACCCACGACAACGTGCCAACCCAAATTTCCCAAAGGAACGCATGCCCTTTAAAGGCTGTTTTTATCTTACCTACCATGGCAACGATGTATACAGTGAATAGTAAATCACTGGTTTCTGTTCTATTGTCTGCCACTTCACTGACGTGTCCTCTTCTCTTCTCTTACAAATTTTAATTTTCACAAATTTTAAACTATTCAAGAGGCTCAGAAAAATCCAAGTTTGTCGCCTTATTTTAATTTGCCATGTGCAAAATTTCCTTCAAACCCGGGAGAAAGCAGTCCTATCAGGGCTAAGTTCCTAATTAGGGTGATAAATAACAACAGCAACAAAAAAACGCCAAACGAAGACAGTGAGCTGAATAAAGGCAAGGTCCGTTGGATAATTGCCTCGTTTGCTTACCACATTATGACGTCATCTGTGATCACTTACTGAACAGACGCACGGCAACATGGGAACTATTTGTAACTATAAAAACGTTTGTTCATGTCACGGACATAAAGAAATTATATTAATCGAGCTTTATACCACGGACTTAAAGTACACTTTACGATGTGAAAAAATTGAGTGAAAGCAGGACCCCATTACGGGTAATGGGCTCCTGGTGAAAGATATGATTCTTTTACTATTGATCGTAAATTCCTAAAACTGGCCTGCCTAAATTCAGATGCGGAAAACATGTTTTAGAGGTTAATGCAGAAGTTCAATTAGCTTGAGGTTTTGAGTGGCGGCCAGCATACAAATCAATTTCAAAACATTTGTTTGCCTATTGTCGAAGCGAAACAAAGCATTCACTCGGCGATTGCGGAAAATTTTTTAACTCCCTCGGAGTACGTCATCGAAATCTTTGACAGTATGGTGGGACTAGTGATTTTGCTTTCAATGTTAGTTAAGTTTCTTGAATGTGGGAAAACAAAACCGGCGACTTATTTTGCCTTTCGGAAGAAGAGGAAATGGGAAGTATTTAAAGCCCGCAAAGATAAAATCATTGGATATATTTTTCGGACCATACCAGTGCGGACCAGATGGAATTGCGGAAAAACTGACAATATGCATTCAAAGTGAAGTATGATCATCGCAGTAAATTTTCCAATTTCA